GATGGTGGTTGTACGGACAGCAGAGCCAGGGGAGAGGGATGGTGGTTGTACGGACAGCAGAGCCAGGGGAGAGAGGATGGTGGTTGTACGGACAGCAGAGCCAGGGGAGAGGGATGGTGGTTGTACGGACAGCAGAGCCAGGGGAGAGGGATGGTGGTTGTACGGACAGCAGAGCCAGGGGAGAGGGATGGTGGTTGTACGGACAGCAGAGCCAGGGGAGGAGGGATGGTGGTTGTACGGACAGCAGAGCCAGGGGATTGCCATGTGTCGCTGTTTGCCCCCTTGTCTCACAACCTTGCTTCATCCGCTCATCGCTGCTCGTCATATCACCAGCGTTGACCATTTCATTCACTCAACGCTCTTACCAGCTGATCCCATTGTTTTCTGTTGCCATGTCGTTCCCCTCCCCGCGTGTGCTCGGGTCGCGCCGTTTATCAGATCACCAACTTCGACTACCTCATGCAGCTCAAACACCCTGGCGGGCCGCACCTTCAACGATGTCACCCAGGTAACGATGTCACCCAGGTAACGATGTCACCCAGGTAACGATGTCACCCAGGTAACGATGTCACCCAGGTAACGATGTCACCCAGGTAACGACGTCACCCAGGTAACGATGTCACCCAGGTAACGACATCACCCAGGTAACGATGTCACCCAGGTAACGATGTCACCCAGGTAACAATGTCACCCAGGTAACGACGTCACCCAGGTAACGATGCCACCCAGGTAACGATGTCACCCAGTAACGATGTCACCCAGGTAACGATGTCACCCAGGTAACGATGTCACCCAGGTAACGATGTCACCCAGGTAACGATGTCACCCAGGTAACGATGTCACCCAGGTAACGATGTCACCCAGGTAACGATGTCACCCAGGTAACGATGTCACCCAGGTAACGACGTCACCCAGGTAACGATGCCACCCGGGTAACGACGTCACCCAGGTAACGATGTCACCCAGGTAACGATGTCACCCAGGTAACGATGTCACCCAGGTAACTCCAATCAACCCCGTCATTCACCTCAATGTGCCATTTCCATGGATTGCTTCACATTTCCAACCTGCTGTGGTGACAGCACATTCCAGTGCTTGCTTGCTTTCCTTCCCGTTAACTACATCTCCTCATGTCATGCTCTCTCCCGCCCTCTCCTCCCTTCCTTTCTCCCCTTCCTCCCCTTCCTCCCTTCTCACCACACCCATCGTCTCTCGTCCTGCCAGTACCCGTCTTCCCCTGGGTAATTCAGGACTATACCTCAAAGGAGCTCGACCTCACCAACCCAGCCACCTTCAGAGACCTCTCCAAGGTGCCTCGTCCTTTCTCCCAAATACCTTCTTCTTACTTCATACACACATCTAAATGCCTTCAGTATTCATACTCTTCTAGCTCCACTCTCTTTCAAATCCCACCTCGTGTTCTTTCACCTTGCCTTTTCACCCAAGTCCCACACATCCCCACACACACCTCTCCCCGCCCCCCTCCCTCGCGAGTGCAGCCGGTGGGGGCACTGGATGCGGGGCGGTTGGAGAAGTTTGTGGAGCGGTACCACAGCTTTGCGGACCCCATCATCCCCAAGTCCACTACGGCTCGCACTACTCCAGCGCCGGCATTGTCAGTCGACCTCTTCCCTTCACACACAGTAACCTCTGCTCATGCGCGCTCACACAATAACCTCTGCTCATGCGCGCTCACACCGCCATGCGGCACTTCCAACTAGAATGACCCGTGCGCTCACCATCGCTCTTGCCCACCCCCTTGTCCCTCCAGGGGCGCACTATCTGCTGCCAGTCCAGCCCAAGGGGGGGCACTTCCACCACCCCGACCGCCTCGCCTCTTCCCCACCCCCTTCCCGCCCCACAACCCCCCGTTCCTCTTTCCCGCCCCACAACCCCCGTTCGTCTTTACCGCCCCACAACCCCCCGTTCCTCTTTCCCGCCCCACAACCCCCCGTTCCTCTTTCCCCTTCCCGCCCCACAACCCCCCGTTCCTCTTTCCCCTTCCCGCCCCACAAACCCCCGTTGGTCTGTCCGGAGGCGGCATTCAGGTGGCGCACTATCTGCTGCGAGTGGAGCCCTATACGTCTCTCGCCCTGGCCTGCAGGGCGGGCAGTTTGACCACCCCGACCGCCTGTTCCTGGACGTGGCTGCCACGTGGCGGGGAGTCACCTCCGACATGAGCGATGTCAAGGAGCTGGTGAGGCATGTCAAGGAGCTGGTGAGGCATGTCAAGGAAGCTGGTGAGAGCAGGGGTGGGTAACATAGGGGCATGTACCACGGCTGCCTGTACCACGGCTGCCTGTACCACGGCTGCCTGTAGCACGGCTGCCTGTAGCAGGGCATCCTAGTCATCTTGCGTGTGTGTGTGTGTGGTGCTCGCGACCCACTATCTGTTGTATCGTTGCGATGTGGGATGCCAGCAAGCATCACCTCATCCAACTCCCACTGACTCCCTCCCCTCTGTGCGCCGTGGCGCGGTGAGGGCAGATCCCGGAGGGTTCTGTCTACCGGAGATGTTCACAACATCAACGGGCTGCACCTCGGCTCCACGCAGAAGGGCGAGGTCATCGGTGAGCTCCCATCCCATTCCCCACCTGCTCACCTCTCATCTCCTTCACACCTCCCTCTTCTTCTTTTTCTCTTTTTTTTCGGTGGGGTTGGTTTCTTCTGTTGTTTCCACACCACCTCCTAACCCTCCCCTCGCACCCAAACCTTCCGTCACCTCCCGTGTCCCCCTCCCCCACCCACCTCCTCCCCCCCCTGCCACCATTTTGCCGCACTGCACCCCACCAGGGGACGTGAAGCTGCCGCCATGGGCGAGCAGTGCGGCGGATTTTGTGCGCAAGCAGCGGGCGGCACTGGAGAGCGAGTATGTCAGCAGCAACCTGCACAATTGGATCGACTCATCTTCGGGTAAGTGCACCGTTCGATCCACCTCTTCAAGTCTCCCCTGCCTTTATGTTCAGCACATGTTGCTCGCCCCCCACAAGCGGGTCATGCCTCTCATGCGGGTTACTCCTTTCTTCCCTGCTCACATCCTGTTGCCCTGTGGGTTGCCCCTCCTGCATGTGCTCACATCCTGTTGCCCTGTGGTTGCCCCTCCTGCATGTGCTCACATCCTGTTGCCCTGTGGGTTGCCCCTCCTGCATGTGCTCACATATGCCCTGTTGCCCCTCGCATGTGTCACATCTGTGCCGTGGGTTGCCCCCTGCATGTGCTCACATCCTGTTGCCCTGTGGGTTGCCCCTCCTGCATGTGCTCACATCCTGTTGCCCTGTGGGTTGCCCCTCCTGCATGTGCTCACATCCTGTTGCCCTGTGGGTTGCCCCTCCTGCATGTGCTCAAATCCTGCCCTGTTGCCCTCTGCATGTGCTCCTGTGCCCTGTGGGTGCCCCTCCTGCATGTGCTCACATCCTGTTGCCCTGTGGGTTGCCCCTCCTGCATGTGCTCACCCACATGGCAGGTACAAGCAGAAGGGCAAGGGAGGCCCTGGCGGCGCACAACGTGTTCTTCTACGTCACGTACGAGGGCGCTGTTGACATCGACTCCATCACCAACCCTGTCAGCCTCCTCTCCTCGCTAGCGCTCTCTCCCCTCTGCCCACCACCATCATCTTACGTCCAAGCCATCACGTCCCCACGAGCCATTGACCCAACTGTCTTGCACTCGCCCACTCAGCACCTTGCCATGCAAGCATGCTACCACCTGGCAGCTTTTCCTTCTCCTCTGCCCTTGGCAAGCACGCTTGCTCAAACCATGCACGATTCTTTTCCAGCTCCCTCACCTCCCGTCATCTCCTTGCTCCCACCACCCTCCCTCCAGATCGTGAGGAGGGGCATGCAGGATCAGATTTCCTACTTCGGCCAGACGCCGTCACAGCTGCTGACGACAGCGCACCACCGCGCATCGCACTGGACTACGCGCTGCACCTGCACACGGTGTTCGCAAGCCCGATGAGATCCTGCCCTACGTGCTGCCACACCCCGACACCCTCAATGTCCCCGCCAGCCGCATCGTCGCCACCTCAGATGCCATCGTCACCGTTGATCTCAATGCTCCTGCTTGCCACGTGGCGGTGCACCAGTGGCAGCCCAACACCCCGGACGGCCACGGCTGGCCGTTTTTGTTCCAGGCCGGGCGGTCTTCGCTGACAGGTAGTGCCATTCTGCGGATGCTGACGGGGGCAGCGCTGGGCGGCAAGGGCAGCAACAGCGAGACATCCCTCTATCGCGCCTCGTGGCCCCCCTGCTCCGGGGATAAAGCACACGTCAACAGCAGCAGGCGCGGTGGGGGGGGGAGGGGAAGGAGGGTGCGGTGGGGGAAAGGAAATGATAGCCATCTCCCGGACGGCAAGTTTCTGTTCACAGGCGGGCACGCGGTTCTCTGTGAAGCTGGTGTCAGTGGACTCGACTCGCGTGCTGGAGACGGCTGCTGTGCATGGCGGCCCCGTGACGTGCGTGGCTCTCTCCCTGATGGCGCCACTCTCGCCACCGGCGCCACGGACGGGGTGGTGCTGCTGTGGCAAGTCAACCACGCCACCGCGCCCTTCCCTTCCTCCCCTGCCGCCGGGGTCACGGCTGGCCTCGTGGCTGCTGGGGCGGGGGGCGGGGGGGCGTGTGGCAAGGCGCAGCACTGCAGCACCCACGGGCCCGCACGACCCTGCTCTGGCTGCTGCCGCTGCAGCGGTGTCGGCTAGCGAGGGAACGAGCAGGCAGCATGGCAGTGGGAGGAGCGGATTACCCGAGCGGGGAGGCGGGGGTGGCATGTCGGAGGGGCCCACTGCTGCTGAGCGCAGGCGGGGGCATGGGCGGGGCGGGGGGGCTGCAGGCGCCGAGGAAGTGGCGGCGCATGGAAGGCCCCGTGCAGGTGCTGCGCGGCCACTTGGACACCATCCTGTGCTGCGCCGTGTCCTCGGACCTCGACCTCGTTGCCTCCTCCTCGCGCTCCCGCGGTGTGCTCCTCCATTCCCTCATGAAGGGCCGCTTCCTGCGCCACCTGCCGGGGGTGGGGCCGGCGGACCTGCTGGCCATCTCCCTGAAGGGGTGGTGGTGGTGTGGGAGCGGCGGCAGCGCGCGCTGCGGGCGTTCACGATCAACGGCGAGCGGTTGGGGCGGGTGAGCATCTCGGAGGAGGATGGCGATGTGAGCAGCGTGCAGGTGTCGAGCAACGGGCTGTTTGTGGCTGTGGGCACGGACTGCAGCCGCTGGCGGCATGTGCGGGAGAAGGAACGGCAGAAGGAGAGGGAGCGCGCTGCTGTGATTGCGGGGAGAAGGTGGGGCTGGGGAAGGCTGGGAGCTTCACAGAGGCTGAGGGGCGGGGACGGATGGTGGCGGTGAGAAGGGCGAGGGAGGAGGGGCGTTGGAAGGGGAGAACGGGGGGACGGGCCGTGGGCAGCGGGATGAGGGGGAAAGAGGAGGGGAGGAAGGCGAGGGGGGGAATTCAGGCAAGGAGAGGAGGGAGGGAGAGGGCGAGAGGAGGGAGGGCAGGGAGGTTGAGGGAGAGGGTGGAGGGGCGGCAGCAGGGGGGGGTGGTGCACTGCCGGACTGGAGGAACACGGACGAAGGGGGTCACGGAAGGAGCGCGGATCAGCGGTGTCACTTCTTGACCTCTTCTCCCTCAAGGTGCATCTGAGCTCCTCCTTAAGCTGCGGGTGCAGCCATGCCGCTTCATCCCATCCTTCTCCAGCTGCATTTCAATTCCTCTCGCCCATGCCCGCCTCTACTCTCTCCCATCCCCCTAACAAGCCCTCTTAAACATCTACTCTATACTGTATGCCCATCCTCTTACAAGCATCTTTGCTTAACATTGCCCCCATCCCCAATCCCTCTCGTGCGTGTGCCATGCGCCATGCTGGCAGGCGCTGTGTCGCTTCAAGCTGCCGGAGGGCACAGACGTGACAGCGCTGGCACTGTCAGCGGACAACACCAACCTGCTCTGCTCCACCTCCGCTCACCTCGCCCCCGGCCAGCTCATCCTCTACAGCAACCCCTGGTACGCCTGTAGCAGCTGCAGCAACCCCCTGGTACGCCTGTAGCAGCTGCAGCAACCCCTGGTACGCCTGTAGCAGCTGCAGCAACCCCCTGGTACGCCTGTAGCAGCTGCAGCAACCCCTGGTACGCCTGTAGCAGCTGCAGCAACCCCCTGGTACGCCTCTAGCAGCTGCAGCAACCCCCTGGTACGCCTCTAGCAGCTGCAGCAACCCCCTGGTACGCCTCTAGCAGCTGCAGCAACTCCCTGGTACGCCTCTAGCAGCTGCAGCAACCCCCTGGTACGCCTCTAGCAGCTGCAGCAACCCCCTGGTACGCCTCTAGCAGCTGCAGCAACCCCCTGGTACGCCTCTAGCAGCTGCAGCAACCCCCTGGTACGCCTCTAGCAGCTGCAGCAACCCCCTGGTACGCCTCTAGCAGCTGCAGCAAACCCCCTGGTACGCCTCTAGCAGCTGCAGCAACTCCCTGGTACGCCTCTAGCAGCTGCAGCAACCCCTGGTACGCCTCTAGCAGCTGCAGCAACCCCCTGGTACGCCTCTAGCAGCTGCAGCAAACCCCTGGTACGCCTCTAGCAGCTGCAGCAACCCCGTGGTACGCCTCTAGCAGCTGCAGCAACCCCTGGTACGCCTCTAGCAGCTGCAGCAACCCCGTGGTACGCCTCTAGCAGCTGCAGCAACCCCCTGGTACGCCTCTAGCAGCTGCAGCAACCCCCTGGTACGCCTGTAGCAGCTACTCTGCAGTGGCCTCTTACACATCAACACTGACAACAGCTTCCTTGGTACCAGTACAAGCTCAACAGTTGTGGTTGTTCACCCCTTACTCCCGTTTCCACTAACCCCCCCCCCCCCCCATCTCCCCCACCTCACTCCCATTCTCTTTCCCCCCAATTGCCACCTTTTTGCCTTGCCCCACTCTCCCCCCTCGTCCCCGTGCAGCTGAGTGTGAAGATGGTGGATCACATGCTACGCCTGGGCTGGGAGGGCAGCGACTTCGCCAGCATCTTCTGACCCTGCCTGCTGCTCTCATGCTGGCTTATCACAACAGTATCTGCCCCGTCATGCACATCACTTGAGACTATTCCATACACTCACTCACGTTTGCATTACTGTAGGAATAATGGGGTGTAGGTGCGTTTGTGAAGTTTCAGGGGGCTCATAAAACAGGATACCAGGGCTCTCCCTAGGTTTTTAACCTGCCTAGTGCATCAGACAAGCTCTGTGTTTCTACTTTTCAACATTTTTTCAACCAATTCTAAGCATAATATGCGTTCTTGCTTGCTTGCTTGTTGGAAAGCTTGAAGAGTGCTTCACAGCTTGGTCCAGCTTTTTTTTTTTGTTTAATCATACCGTATGATGTTTGTTGGGGTGATTGGCAGGCCCTCAGATTCACTTTTAGGAACGTTGATTGCATCAGGGTCCCTGTGAAAAAAACCTGAATTTTCAGGGTTCCTAACAGGCCCTCGGATATCAGCGTAAAACACGCTGATTACGCTGATTTTGTAGCTGTGATTTTCGTTTTCCCTGAAAATTCAGCATATGCTTCAATTTTTGCACTGAAATTTCAGTATATCCTACCTTGTCACACTGACCATTTTGCGTGTTTCTTTACAAGAAACATTGACGAATCAGTATAGTGACGTGAGGTCACATCTGAAACGGAGTTGACCGCGTGTGTGGGGGGGGGGGGGGGGGGGGGGGGGGTTGATAGGGTGCGCATGTACAGTCTGTACCTTCCCGTGATTCCTGAGACCCCACCCACACACTTGGCATTTTTTTCGCATGCACTGCACAGATACCGTATCAGGTGCGCGCGCCGAAGTGTTTAGCCTCGCTGGAACCTACGGTATCACAGCAACAACACCACACACCTTGTACTGGGGTTTCAGCTATAGTTTTTTGTTATTACACTGTTGGTTCAGTTTACTTCTGATTCTTACACTGGCAAAATCAGTATAAAAAAACCCGTGAACGCTGATTGGACAACCTCGTTGGCCGAGGGCACACTGATCCATCAGCATTACCCTCAAACCAATCTGAGGGCCTGGTTCCTAAAAAAAAAGCCTGAATTTTCAGGGTTCCGAAAAACAAAGCTGAATTTTCAATCACATCATGCAATTGTGCTAGAGTAGCCTTAACGAACATGGTAGTAGAGGGATTCAAACTGGAAACCTTACCATTCAGTATCTACTTCGCTAACCACTTAGCCAGTTCATGGCAGGGCTCTTGCTAGGATTTGGGCTGTCTGAAAACACCGAAGTAAAAAATCATTTCCGCTTGACGATCAGACCGGCATATTTTTCTGGTCTGATTTTCCAGACGAATGCTGGAGGTTAGTTTGATTTTCCAGACTATTAAATTTGCATAGTCTGATTCAGCTAACACCCTTGTCTAGCATAATCACACTTGTTCTTGTTAATGAACGCGCCCCTGGCGCGGCGCTGACAGCTCGCTAGCTGACAGGCGTGTGGCTGTTGAGGGGCATGCACGTGGCATTGAGGTGCTGCGATGGGATCAGGTTGGGTGGAGGGACGCGAGAAGGAAGGGGGGGGCTGGGCTGTTGCCGAGACTTCACGAGGGGCATGGGGAGTGGACCAGGGGGGGAGGGGGAGAAGTCTGGACTAGGCCTGGAAGAGGAGAGAGGGCATCTAAAGGGGGGCTGAGCTTTAGAGAAGCGAGGGATCGGGGGGGGGGGGGGGGAGGGAGTTCGGTATGAGACGAATTGCAACCCGCTATCTGAAATTTCAGGACTAAGTATAAGGCTTGCTCTGAAAATCGGATGAACTAAAATTCGTAATCTTACGGATCAGACGAAGTAAAAATCCTCGTCTTGAAAATCAGATGAAACCCAAAATCAAGGTTTGAAAATCAGAAAATCATACCAATTTTGTCTGATAACGAGAGCCCTGGTTCATGGAGTCAACGGTCAGTATTTTTAACAGAAGTGGTTTTGAAATTGTGGAAATGTTGGTTGACTTATTGCCTCGGGTGTTTTACGGGAAGGATTCAGAATGTGCACTCAGTGTACACTTCGATAAAGTCTGAAACATCAGTGTAGCTATGAAGTAAAGGCTTGAAAAAATCAGTGTCACAAAAATCTCAACACTGAAAATTCAGTGTAGGTACACAAAACTAAGCTGAAAAATCAGGAATTTTAGGGGAAAATTCCTGATATCGTAGGGCCTGGTGATTGGTCATCATGGTTGTTCTGGTGTGTTTTGCTAGTTCTGTTATTATTTTCTACATTTTTTTCTTGTACTACTGCTTGTGTAAACGGGATTCCACTCCTCCTTCGATAATGAAGTTCTCCGAGCTCTCCGCCATCTGGCAGCCATGGATTTCTCCGAGCTCGACTCAGTCAACAACCTCGCTACAATGCTCAATGCAAAGTCTGTTTCCGTTTCACGTATCGCTTTTAACACTAACATTGGATTACCGGCCATTTATGCTGGCCTAGGTTACTCGGTTATAAGGCGACAAGGCTCAGCGTTTGTAAGGGATTCCCAGGATCGCTTTTTCAGTCATGATCCACAGTCCAGCGGCTATTTTTACTACTTTCAAGCGCTACACTCCTATTTCAACGGTTATTAAGGACGATGGTTTCGATGTTGCAACCTCGGGAATACAACATCAACAGCAGGAAGTATTGGAGTCTGACAAGCTCCTATTACTACTTAAAGCAATGCTCAGTCATCAGGCTCTCCACCTTGTCTCAGTCATCAAGCATGCTCTACACATTGTTTCTTCGCCTGCTTCTCATCATCGTACAATGTCGAACCCTGCTGATGTCTCGGTTTCGCTCTAAGGGTCAACGCTCTCGTCCTGCTAATGATCCGCTGGCTCATAAACAGGATACCAGGGCTCTCCCTAGGTTTTTAACCTGCCTAGTGCATCAGACAAGCTCTGTGTGTTTCTACTTTCAACATTTTTCAACCAATTCTAAGCATAATATGCGTTCTTGCTTGCTTGCTTGTTGGAAAGCTGAAGAGTGCTTCACAGCTTGGTCCAGCTTTTTTTTTTTGTTTAATCATATGATGTTTGTTGGGGTGATTGGCAGGCCCTCAGATTCACTTTTAGGAACGTTGATGCATCAGGGTCCCTGTGAAAAAAACCTGAATTTTCAGGGTTCCTAACAGGCCCTCGGATATCAGCGTAAAACACGCTGATTACGCTGATTTTGTAGCTGTGATTTTTCGTTTTCCCCTGAAAATTCAGCATATGCTTCAATTTTGCACTGAAATTTCAGTATATCCTACCTTGTCACACTGACCATTTTGCGTGTTTCTTTACAAGAAACATTGACGAATCAGTATAGTGACGTGAGTCACACTGAAACGGAGTTGACCGCGTGTGTGTGGGGGGGGGGGGGGGGGGGGGGTTGATAGGGTGCGCATGTACAGTCTGTACCTTCCCGTGATTCCTGAGACCCCACCCACACACTTGGCATTTTTTCGCATGCACTGCACAGATACCGTATCAGGTGCGCGCCGAAGTGTTTAGCCTCGCTGGAACCTACGGTATCACAGCAACAACACCACACACCTTGTACTGGGGTTTCAGCTATAGTTTTTTGTTATTACACTGTTGGTTCAGTTTACTTATGATTCTTACACTGGCAAAATCAGTATAAAAAAAACCGTGTGAACGCTGATTTGGACACCTCGTTGGCCGGGGCACACTGATCCATCAGCATACCCTCAAACCAATCTGAGGGCCTGGTTCCTAAAAAAAGCCTGAATTTTCAGGGTTTCCGGAAAACAAAAGCCTGAATTTTCAATCACATCATGCAATTGTGCTAGAGTAGCCTTAACGAACATGGTAGTAGAGGGATTCAAACTGGAAACCTTACCATTCAGTATCTACTTCGCTAACCACTAAGCCAGTTCATGGCAAGGCTCTTGCTAGGATTTGGGCCTGTCTGAAAACACCGAAGTAAAAAATCATTCCGTCTGACGATCAGACCGGCATATTTTTTCTGGTCTGATTTTCCAGACGAATGCTGGAGGTTAGTCTGATTTTCCAGACTATTAAATTTGCATAGTCTGATTCAGCTAACACCCTTGTCTAGCATAATCACACTTGTTCTTGTTAATGAACGCGCCCCTGGCGCGGCGCTGACAGCTCGCTAGCTGACAGGCGTGTGGCTGTTGAGTGCACGTGGCATTGAGGTGCTGCGAGGGATCAGGTTGGGTGGAGGGACGCGAGAAGGAAGGGGGGGGCTGGGCTGTTGCGAGACTTCACGAGGGGCATGGGGAGTGGACCAGGGGGGGAGGGGGAGAAGGTCTGGACTAGGCCTGGAAGAGGAGCGAGGGCATCTAAAGGGGGGCTGAGCTTTAGAGAAGCGAGGGATCGGGGGGGGGGGAGGGAGTTCGGTATCAGACGAATTGCAACCCGCTATCTGAAATTTCAGACTAAGTATAAGGCTTGCTCTGAAAAATCGGATGAACTAAAATTCGTAATCTTACGGATCAGACGAAGTAAAAATCCTCGTCTTGAAAATCAGATGAAACCCAAAATCAAGGTTTGAAAATCAGAAAATCATACCAATTTTGTCTGATAACGAGAGCCCTGGTTCATGGAGTCAACGGTCAGTATTTTTAACAGAAGTGGTTTTGAAATTGTGGAAATGTTGGTTGACTTATTGCCTCGGGTGTTTTACGGGAAGGATTCGGAATGTGCATTCAGTGTACACTTTCGACTTTACTTCATAGCTAACGAGGTGTGCATTCAGGAGTACAGGATGTGACAGATCTCGATCGTTACCTGCTGGAGTCTTAGAGTTAGATTCACATGTATAGTATCGTTTTACAGCCTCTGGATGACAAGGGGCTGCAAGGCATTGATCCAATGATTAATAAAAACCACCTCACCATCGCAAGCTTAAACGTCAACGGCTTAGGCAACAGAACCATCTGGAGCGAGTACTAAGTGGATGAGAAAAGGACCTGACATTGCAGTGTTAGTAGATACTAGAATAGCCAGCAGTCACACTTACTGGACCGGACTTAGCA